ACAAAAGAAATTCAATACATGTGTCAAATAACTGTAATTTTCTACACCCAAATATGCACCATAACAGAAAACTTAATCAGGACGTTGGGGCTTACATTTCTGTTTCCGATACGATATACTATAGCGTTTGAGCACAGATTATCCAATCAGTTAAGATAAAGGACACGCTTTTTTAAAAACGTCACTTAGACATAGATTTAAGCGCCAAAATTTGATAGATTAAAAATAAACTTTATTTGTACGGTTTAAGGCTAGTTGCAGGTTGTTGAATACAGACTAGAAAATCTTTTATAAAGTTGGGTGTCCACTGGTTGTCGTGTGCAGGACCGCCGCGTGGCGGGCACGTGAACAAGATTAGGCGGTGCATTCATGTCGCGCGCACAAAACGCGGGGTGCGCGGGCGAAACGTCAATTGTGTGCGGCTTGGGGGAGAAAATTCGCTAAGCTAGGTTAGATTTAAATTATAAATGCGAAATCGTACAGATTCTATTTGCATATCCCACGAGTGTATCATGTTTTGATATCTTTTGTCATACCTTAAGTATGTTCAATTTTGTATAAATATGTACAGTAAAAGAAATGCATATTAGTTATTACTTAAAGTGAAATATAACAAGCAGTGAGATCGATGAAATTTGCTATTACCTATATAAATAGAACATTATTTTTTTATTATATTTTTCATTTTTGTCATTTAACTTTATTAATTCATCCCCATTTTCACCCCCTTAAGGGATGATTTCCGATATAAAAAGTATCCTATGTCCTTTCCAGGGCCTCAAACTATCTTCTTACCAAATTTAATCTAAATCGGTTCAGTAGATTCAGAGATTACCCCCTACAACGTCACAAACTCACAAACTTTACCTCTTTATAATATTAGTATAAATGTATATTGTGTATGTTTGTAAGTCGTAAAGACAGAATTTATCAAAAGGCGACAGAATTTATAAAATGTAGCTGTAGGTCCCTACACACTCGAGCGGAGCGAGGGTAAATTGCTAGTTAACATTAAAAGCTTTAATATTTTTAAAAACAAAGCTGTCATAATTAATAAGATAATAAATATTACAAAATTACATATATGAAGTATTTTAAAATCGACGATAAATTTTAAATTACGAAATAACCAGTCGCCCTCAATTTCCAACACGGCGTAAAAAATAAATGATCAGTAAACAAAAGCGAAGCAAGTAAACACACTTGCGCCCATCAGCGAGTGTTCGGGGGACAAATAAATCAGGACTTGATCGTCCTGTCCAGGGACTCGGCCTCATGGGACCTAGACTAAGAAGATCATCAATTTATGAAACGTTACTAAAATATTATAATAAAACGCACAAAAAATATATCTAGACAGTGTCTTATATATCTATACTTATTATAAAAATAAGTCCCCCGGCCGCGTCTTTCTGTCCTCCTGTCTGTCCTCCTGTCTGTCTGTACGCGATAAACTCGAAAACTACTGAACGGATTTTTATACGGTTTTCAACAATAGAAAGAGTAATTCTTGAGGAAGGTTTAGGTATATAATTTATTATGCTTTTATGTAAATTAGCTGAAATACGGCGACAAATGTTGAAGAGGTCGCAAAAAATCTCGCCAAATGGGAACTTTCCACGCGAACGCCGCGTAAACTAGCAAAGATACAGTTAAGTAATGTACTAGAGAATTCAAAATCTATAAAAATGCTACAAAAAAGTCCGCGATAGCATATCTCTATCTCTTACGGTTGACTTACAATAACCACTTTTATGTTAACATTTTTAATTAAAAACATTACGTTATTTTCAAAGTTATTTTCTTTAGTTCGGTATTAATCCTTATCCAAATGAATATTTTAGTTAGCTTAGTCATTTAATGCAGATTAAAATTGCTCTTTACACTAAATCAATCAGATGAATAGTTTTTGAGATATCGTTGTTAGAAGTAATTAGTAGCGAAACATTTTTAATGCTTGGCGAGCATTGAGATGCCTACGGCGAGTCCATCCCCTCTGCCCCGCATCGCTCGACCGCCTGCTCAAGCTATATAAACCGGGCGATGTAGCGCGCGATCCTAGGATACTTTTTACCGCGGGAAAATATCTTATTTCTGAGGAAAAATACAAAAACTGCAATGTAAGAGTATACTAATATGTAACACCTAAGAATTTAGTTTTTGGTCATCTGAACGCGGGCGGAGCCGCGGGCAATGCTAGTAAATAATATTCTGTGATCTTTTGTATTATATAAAAATCCAATCTCTCTTACCTATTTTGTTCTTGTCTATTATTTTAAAAAATATTGGCTACTAACGACTTTTGTATTTATAATATTAAATACAGGCCGTGTCACATTTTGGCAAATTTTATTGGTAACAGTAGACTACATATAAGTATGTATATTTTTCACCTCAGATTGTAGTCCATTAGTGTATTTTTCATCCAAAGCCGTTATACATACATTAGACATACAAACTTTTAACTATGTGACGACACGTTTGGCTCAGTTAGTAGTGACCCTACTTGCTGTGCCAGCGGTCGTTGGTGGCATTCATTTGTGTGATAAGCAGGAAGGTTTGTACTCCAGTTATGGGTGTTAAAATTTATAATATGTATGTATTTAAAGTTATATATGTATAGTATATCAACTATCTGGTATCCATAACACAGGCCTCGTAGCTTACCATGGAACTAGATGGTGCTGTGTGTTAATGTCACAACATATTTATAACTCTATAGGCTAAATCTTAAAAACTATAAAACTTATAGGTAATTCTAAAGTTTACTAATTTAAAAAATGCCACATCCACACAACATGTTGTATGTATTGTTGAAGCGCGAAGTCTCTCGAGACGGGGACGCATATTGCACTCATTTCATTATGTACATACGATTACGATCGGGGACAATCTATATGTACAGATGGCTCTAGATTTAAGTTTGATTGTGTGGTGATAGCACTTACTGGAAGAATGACATGTAATAAAATACGTATTGAAATGTACGTTTGTACACTCTGCTATAATTTAACAGTATGTTTTAAAAATTAAAAATGTTATACTACATATTATAGACTACAGTATAAAATAATAAAGCACAGAAAATTTTAATGAAATGTATTTTTATTTTTTTTTTGTTTTTCTTTTCACGATTGATCCCTATTGTGATGAACCTCAAAATTAAAACTTTATAAGCATACTCATTTAAAAAAATAGGTACTTCTGTGTACAGAAAAATGTGTTAGTGTTATAAAACATACAGTAGATTTTGCGAATCTACGTAAAATATATTTAAGCGCTTTTTAGCACAATATAAAATAATTAAATTAGGAACAGTGGTCATAAGTCTTCAAAATTAATACGTGTATGATTGATTACATTCACACTAAAGAATTATAGAGCGGAGATTTTGGTGATTTGCTGTTTATCATACATACTATTCTCGATTTTGCTCTACAAATCATTTACTTTTTCTAAAGAATAAGGGAATTTTTACACATTAGTTACATTTTATACAATTTTATACATTATACTAGCATTGCCCGCGGCTCCGCCCGCGTTCAGATGACCAAAAACCAAATTCTTAGGTTTTACATATTAGTATACTCTTCTACTTCTTCTACAGACAAAAATTCCAAAAACTATGGATTCGGCCTCTGTATCGATAATAATGTCTATTTCAATAAGATTTTCCAAAAAATATTTAATGTACAGATTCGGCTTAGTTATAATTTTATTATATGAATAGATAATACAATTTAAATAAAATATGAATAATGATAATAGTATATTCTTTTATCGGATTATTTCGCGGATTTATTTTGATTTTTGGTTCCCGACGTTTCAAACATTCGCGTAAATCTAAGAAAGTACTATATTCTTTTGTTGTTTTGAAGTATTAGTACTCTTCCCCTTGAAAGAGAGATAACATAATATTAGCTCAATCTTTTTTCATTGTACTCTTATAATAAAGTCCGTAACTATTTCTATTTATTAACACTTACTTACCACTCGGTATACAAAATTATCATAAGTGTACTATTTAAAAACATTATTGGTACGTTTCATTTTTAGTTCTAGACACTCTGTCTATAGTATTCCTTAGGCTTAGTCTGAGCTATAACCTTAATAAGAGTGACTCCAGCACTCTACATTCTTTTCATTTCTTCAATTAATGTTTAATGTGCTTAGTGTTAGATAGAGGTTTCTACTGCATTATCAAAATGATTTAGCAATATTGATGACACGTTTAGCCCAATTTATAGTGACCCTACTTGCCGTGCCAGCGCGGCGGTCTAGATAGATTCGAATCCCGCTAGGGGTATTCATTAGTGTGATGCGCACTAATGTTTGTACTCCAGTCACAGGTGTTTATATTAATAATACGTATGTACTTTGAAGTTATATGTGTATCAACTATCTGGTATCCATAACAATAGCCTCGCAGCTGACCATGGAACTAGATGGTGATATGTGTTAACGTCCCAACATAATTTTGGTTACAGATCGTTCAATAAATATCAATGTTAATTAAATATCGTCACTGCATACAGAAGAGAATTAGCGACATTTCATTGGTATGCAGTGGCGTAGCGTGCCTTGTCGGGGCCCCGTATAAAAATTTTTTTGGAGGCCCTTATATGGAGGTAAAGATTTTTCACAAAAGAAAAAAAATATTGTGAGAAGTAATATTTATTTATCACATAATTTACCCATTTTACAAATAAAAATAGAATTTTAAATATTCACTCTCCTTGCCTTTTTATCGGCAAACTGATTTATTAAATCATTTATGGCTGATGATGATTTTAGTTTTTCTAAAGTTTCTGCCTCTATGGACAATAGTGAGATGTCTGACAGCCGTTCTTGTCCCATCGAAGTTCTTAAGTAATTTTTTATTAGTCTTAATTTTAAAAAACTTCTTTCTGCCGTTGCGGTTGTAACTGGAAGGGTCAAGAATAAAAAGCATGCTGTGATTACCTCGGGAAAACTGGATGCAAGACTATTGAATTTTACTAGCAATAATTCAATGAGTTCTTTAATGGAATAAATTTTTTAATTTCAGAATTTAAGCATGTTTTTAGAGCCTTTAATTGGTCACAAAGATTAAGTGAGATGTCTTTACTGTATTTAGCAGACAGTTTTCCGGAAGCGTTTAATATCTCTTCGCTTGAAGAAGATAGGAGTTTCTCCGGTTGTAATATTTCGAATATACTACTCAGGTTGCAAAGGCTCTGAAATCTTTCTTTAGTTTGAGAAATTAATATATCTAAACAGCAATAGTATACATTGACTTTAAAATAGGATTCCGGGTCGGAAATTCTCTCATCTTGTGATAACTCATCAAAAAAACGCTTCGTTATCTTTCGCCTACTGTTTTTAAAAACAGTTGTTACCCCCCACTTTTTTGCTAAATCTTTGGATTCATTTAGAAAACTATTAAATGAATTCTGATTTCTTAATTGGCACAGTCTATTTAAAAGATTACTTAATAAAATACTAGATTTCTGTAAGTCATTATTATCATGCTGTAGAGCTTTAGAAACAGGATTAATAATTTCAAATAGTGAAGAAATAAATGTAACGAGCACTAAGAAATCAAAACTCTCTAAAATATTAATTATACTTTTACATTCTTCACGTTCATCTTTTTTATTTGAAATTAAATTTAGTTGGTACAAAGTTTTCATGATTAGTAAAAAATTTTTCTTTACTGCTAATAAAGCGTCGTTCCTAGAAGACCATCTGGTAGGACATACCTTTTTAAGGGTAATCAAATATTTTTCAGATGAATCGTCACTTAGCATAGCCCAGCGTTTTATACTATTGCCAAAAAAAGTATATATTTTTTCTAAATTATCGAAAAAAGTCGATACTTCACGAACATGTCTCGCAGCATCGTTCAAAACCAAGTTTAAAGCGTGCGCAGCACAATGAACATAATCGGCATTTGGAGCATGCTCTTTTATTAGGGTTTGTAATCCTCCATACACACCCGACATAACATTTGCTCCATCGTATCCCTGTCCTCTACATTTAGTCAAATCAATTCCATATTCTTTAGTCAAATTTAAAATGACAGTTTTCAGACCTGCAGCACTGCAATCGGTTACTGCTATGAATCCTAAAAAGGACTCACAGATTTTTATTTCTTTAGGCACATTATCATCATTTTCTGTAACCGAGATATATCGAAAAACTACAGATAGTTGGTCAATTTTTGACAAGTCTTGTGTTGTATCCAGAATTATTGTCAGAAATGGAGCTTTTTTAATTTCTGAGATAATACTGTTCCTAACGTTAGTACCAAGCAAACTAATAATTTCGTTTTGAATCGTAGGGCTTAAATAATTTATTTCACCTTTCGGTTTTAGAAAAAGTTCTTTTAAAGTTGCATCATAGTTAGATAGCAGACGTGAAATTGCCATAAAATTGCCAGAATCAGAATCATGCCCCCTCAAAGGTAGATTACAAGATACTAAAGTAATTATAACATTAATTATACGATGCAGTACATCTCTCCAGAATGTAATTTTACTATCGATTTCACTTTTCAATAGAGTATCGATGGTATTTCCTTGCAACCAATTATTATAAGAGAGTGAGGCACTAATATGCTGCTGTGACTTTTCATGGTCAAGAATAGTTTGTGTGAAATTGCTTCTAACCGAAACACCGTTAACCCAAGCAGAGGAGTACGATTTGTTTTGACGATCTGCTAATAACCAAGTGACAGTACGGTTTGTTTAAAACGTTAGAATAACATAACCATGGTCTTATAATTTTTATGCCTGCCTGATTGAAATATGAATAATAATAAGCTGAAAAAGGTCGGTTATTTTCTGAAACTTTTGGAAATGGTCCTTGTGGTTTAAATGGACCCAATTTAAAAATTATTTTTCGTTCGCATTCAGTTAAATTGTCACCAAAATTTCCTCTATCTGATGAAATTATATTACAATCTGCATTATCTGCAGATATATCAGAATCGTTGACTTGGGGTTCCTCGATTTCTGGATGGACATCCGATAAAGTATGTGCTTGGCTTTCTTCTATTTCCGGATGGATATGTGACGAAGAACATGCTTCAGAAGAATCTAAAAATAAACGAGTAATTGTTAAAAAATAAATACGAATGCTTTGATACTAAACTAAAAAGAGTTATATATAAATAAATAACGTTACTAAGGGTCACAGTTAGAGAGTGTTCAGTTCAGACGCACACAGATTCTACGCGGATTGTGCTCGTACCTATTAGTAGATACAAAATCACCTGCAGCCCGTCCGTGCATTACTATACACCTGCGTGCTATTTAAACGCAGCGCGTAGTGTAGTGGCCATACAAAACGAGAACCCGAAAGCGAGTCTGCACATCTGAAGTTCTCAACACGCAATTAACGATACGATACGGACTGATAAACAAACAACAAAACAAATCGATCCTATAGATAAGTTAGAATTTTGTTTTTTTTAATCAAGGCACGGAACCCTAAAAACAGTATAATTGTGAAAATCGAGGGGGGAGACAACTTTTTGTGACGGACAGATGGACAGACCGAAATTAAAAGATTTCCTTGTTTATCACTACGGGCCCCTAATAAATGGGTTGGGTAGTAGTGTAGTACTTACCTTTCCAATCTAAATCACTCACAGTATCTTGTCTCTGAAAAAATGAAGAAATTTTGGGCACTTTTTTTATAACCTCGTCCCTTTTCTGTTTAATTTTTCTTTTCTCAGCGCCGCTGGGATAATCTCTTTTCCTTTCACTCATTTCTTTTACAAATCGTTACTAATACTGCTAAACCAGAAGAACAATATTGTTTGTACTGAATTACAATGTAATGCACATTTATATAAAGCGCGTAAATAAACAGTGCACTGCACTCCGTGGTTTAACATCTAATGCAAAGTACAACAACGTACACGTACATCGCGATATCGATGAAGGATTCCCGGGGATTCCCCGCTGAGTTGAAGATGAAATAAGTAAAACGGGGAAGTCCCGCAGCCCGCCATAACGATGTAGTGTTGCCAACTTTTGAACGCACGCTTAAGGCGGGAAAAAAAGGAATTGCTTTATAGAATTTTGTCATTTGTAAAATAAAATAAATTAGAAAGTTTTTATTCTTTTTCCTTACACACTTTGGGGGCCCCCGTGGCCCGGGGGCCCCGTATAATTGATACGGCAAATACGGCGGTAGCTACGCCCCTGTTGGTATGCCTTAACAACGCCTCAAATTAATGTCACAAAGGAAATTAAAATAGTGCAGTCATGCTTCAAAAGTGTAATAAATAAATATGCCCCACATTATCATCTATTTAATTATAGATATTGAAACTTATTATTAAGTTCACAAAGTCTAGTCTCCGTTAGCAAGAAGCGATTCCTATGGGGATTTCATAAATCATAAGCAGTTCGGGACAGCGATGACATCTATCATGTCAAGGGTTGCTTTGTTTAATTTATAGCGGGTACTTAGGGTAAGACCAACGTTAAAATACTTAACTGAACTATGAAATGATTAAACACCTATTATTTTAAGAAAATTCTTTTAATTTTATAGATATTTATGATTATATAAAGCATTTAAAGATTTTAAATTTCAAATTAAGAGATAAGAGGTGCTCTTTCATTTTAAATTTATATGGAACCATATCCTTGAGACACGTAGTTATTAAAAAATAATTTTCGAAAATCAAGTCACACTAGGCGCAGTTATCGCCCCCCCCAACGTGCGTTCACCTTGTCGTGGTGGGGGGGCTCAGTAGTGTACTCGCGAAGCCAAGAAACGCACAGGGAGGTGGCCCGCTTCGGTGGGCGGTAGGAGGCGGCCTTCTTCGGAGGGTGGTGTACCATGCGGGTTGCTCCTGGTACTTCTCTGATAGCAGAGTGGACCGTGGAGCAACCCCATGGTTGTTGTGGTCTGCTTCGGCAGACCTGCCGTCGGGGCGTCGTAGTTGAATGCGTAAGCGATCCTGCGACGCCCCATTAAGACGGGGGAAGGTTTTGTTGGGTTTTAGTGGGTAGTACTGGCTTCGCCGGTGAGTCCCACACTTCGTGCGTAAATGCATTTCCCAACGTTAAAAAAAAAAAAAAAAAGCCGCAGTTATCGCGTGATATAGTCGTACACACATGAAAACAATCGAATGGAGTATCTCCATTTTTGAAGTCGATGAAAAAGCTTCGCTATTTACTATTTCAAACATTTATTTTATAATATTTAGAAATACATGTGCTTATGAGTTTTATATCATAAATATGATAACAATTCTGAATAAACTCTTAATGATGCAAAAGTAAAAACGTACCTACACAAAATTCTTGTTAATTTAGTGTATAGCAGTAGGTATAAGTAAGATTTTCCTGATTTCCATAGCTTGTATAATAAGCGGATGCCTCGCGCTTGATAGCGATGTATTATTTACAGTGTGGTTCGTTATTTGCCTCACTGCTCGTAATAACTTGAGGGAATACGCGGCGCGCTGCTACTAACACCCGTGTGTGGTACGTACGCTCAATTGTAGCGCGTTTTGAATATACTCGTAAATATTGAAATAATTTAATACAAATGTTAAATATTTTAATTTCTTAATAAGGAGTCACTATTTAAAAATGATGTTTTTATGTTCAAAATGAAATTAAAATATAAATAAATATCTTAAAAAAACTTATACAACATCTCAATTATCATATTATTCTAAATTATTATGCGATATTTGCTATTAAATTATATGTTTGCATTAAATTATAAATATAATTCATCGTTTTTTTTTTAAGCTTGCGACGGAAATATAGATTAATGATAATTTATTTAACTTTATGTTAGTGAAGCTCATTTATATTATATTGATTGATAATTGATCGTAGCTATATGTTAGTAGCTGACAACACATACCTAGATGAAAACGTACAAGTAGTAGAATATTAGAAGATACACTAGTCTAGGGTATGTAATACTCTAACTAAAAAGTGTTACAACACTACATATCTTAGGGGAGAGCGGGGTTGGAAGTTCCGATTTTCAAATAACATTAAATTTTATTATAAAAATGAAGACATTCATTTTTAACATGTGAAAATATTGAATGGATGTTTATTGGTTTTTGTAATATTATAGTCATTTATACTAATATCTCAATAGTTTTTTTTACAGAAGCAATTTTTTGTCAAATTTCGGAGCGGAACATTCAGCCCCGCTTTGGGGCGAGTTGTTCCATCGTTGGGGCAAATTGTTCCACTTAGATTATAACAATAATCTGTCCGAATAACATAGGTTTTATAAAATAAAATAACCATTTCTATATATTTATGATGTAATGTTTAAGTTATGCAAAAATAAACTTAAAAAAACAACAAACTATTACTGGTACAAAACATTACTGGTCCAGATAAACTTTTTGTAACTTTAAAAAACAACAAATCCTAAATGGTGAGCTCCAGATAAACGTTTCTTTACTTAGTTAACATATAATGGAGATCTATCAACTTATAAATCTTTTCAGATGCATAACTTGACTTCAAGAAACAACAAAACATAATCTCCAAAGAAACTTATTTTTATTTGTTTAAATTATTAATTATCAGTCTTACTTTAATCAGGTGTAATTAAATTTGGCAATCTCCATTCTCACTCATCAGGAATCTTATTCGACACTCATTTCTTTATCTGACTCACAGTTGGGACACACATAAGTACGCCTCTAAACATTTAATACGAGCCCAATTTTTACACATGATACATTCTATCCACTGTTCTCTTGGACGAAAATTTGAATATGCATCACAACAAATTATGCCGTACCATTCTAGATCATACTAACATGTCAGTCTCCTTTTCTTGTACACTCTTCGTTTAGCTTTTCCTTGAGATTTTCCCTTCCCTTTCCCGTTGGTTTTATCTTTTCCTTTACTATTTTGTTTGTTTTTTCCTTATCCTTATGTCATATGTATAATGTCAATATGTATAATGTCGTCATTCTTTTTTGTCTTCTTCTTTGTCTGTTCTTCGACTAACGCATTTTATCTAGCGTGTCAGTTAAAATAGATTTTTTTCTTATATCCAGTGAAACAGTCAGCTCCAGCAAATTTCAGGTTCTCTTGCCACAGTTTAAAAGAATCTCGGAAGAGTCTCGAGGGTTTACCTTCCTCTATCTTATGCTTGTAATTTCGCATCCTTAAAATGAAAAAAATGGTCTAAAGTATTTTAGGTATACGACGAAGGTAAATTGGGGTAAGTTGTTCCGGGGAACAACCAGCCCCGTCAGGAAGGAACTTATTACCCCAAATTACTTTTATATACGAAGACTGACATACTGGCAAACTTATATAATAAATTATAAAAATACTTATGCGATAATATACCTTACCAATATCACTACAATTTCGGAAAGTTACGTATGAATCGGTCCATAATAAACATAGATAGACCAAATAGTTTAAGCACGAAAAAATTTACTTACGTGACGTTTTGACAGCTACGTGCACACAGCCACTCAACCTTCGTCGCTGGAGTAACTAAAATGGCTGACGGCGCAGCGCGTTACCTGATGCTTTAACGGCGCACTTCACATCTATTGCTATGTCTTTCCCTTACAAAGTTATTACCGTCGGAACAACTTACCCCGGTAACTTCCAGCCCCGCTCTCCCCTACATGGTATTTACACAGTCTTGCTATTATTTATCGATATTTTGACGTTTACATAAGATACTCAATTTCTACGTTACATTATCGAAGTTTTGAAGACATCAACAAGAAAATTGAATTAAATTGAAAATATATATTAAAAAAAGCGGCACATAATATCGGCGTACGTATAATAGCGTTAGATCGTAGTAGTGTTGCCGCTACATCTATCATCCTGCGACACATGTGCCGATTACAGACTCAGAGCCGCTCACCTCCCATACTGTATATGACTGGTACCTATTTATTATATTAACTCGTAAAATAAAAATATATGAACTTTTATTATAAGAATTTTACATATAAAACTTCAGTTATAGAAGAACCCCTTCCTCAATGGGATCAGGCTAGAGCCCACCACGCTGGTGATACGCATGCTGGCAAACTTCAAGTATTTGTCAAGCAAATAATAATGATCCACATGAAAATCTTAGCAATGCGATATCTGGATTTGAATTAATTTTTTTTGATGTTCCAAGTTAACGCGTTACCACTTGGTCACCACTGTAATGTAAAAAAACTTACTTTGTATTAAATTCAATCGTTAATTTAACCGCATCCATATTGATTAATATCTTAAATTGTTTATGAAATCTACATCATTCTGAATGAAAATATGTTCACCCTATTTTTAAATAATTAGACGAACAAGTAAAGAATATAATTTGGGGAAATAATTTTAGATAAACTAGAAAGTTCGAAACCGTATCATTCGTCAGCACCTTATACAATTTAGTACTAACATTATAATAGTAGTTACTTTCACAAAATATATTATAGTCCGAAACAATTTTTTTTAAATACTTTTAAAAATCAAATATTTTCGCGACAAATTACCATTTCCCACTAATTTAACTTCTAATTTTCGTGTAAGCCTAAGTCTAACAAGGCAATGTTTTAGAACAGTGGTGATGCGTGCAGCTCGGGGACGGCCGCCACCGCGTCGCGTGCACGCCACTCACGCCGACCTCAGGTTTTAATGTATCATTGAGCGCAGAAATATTTCTTTGGGATTTTTCTATTATAGGAAATAATGATAAAATTGCGAGACTGAGTTTATATGTTTGTTCTCCCATAACACCTTAG